GAGGGGGAGAATACTGAAAGTGTACAGAGAGCACAAACAAAGATCAAGTGGCAGAGAGAGAAGGGAGGGGGAGAATACTGAAAGTGTACAGAGAGCACAAACAAAGATCAAGTGGCAGAGAGAGAAGGGAGGGGGAGAATACTAAAAGTGTACACAGAGCACAAACAAAGATCAAGTGGCAGAGAGAGAGAGAGACAGGTGCAGACAGGTGCTCGATTGCTAGTTTCCCGCTGGAACACTTGAAAAGGCCACACCCTCCAGGGCATTCCTAAAGGAGTAATGGTAGTTTCAGGACACTTGTTGATGGAGAAAGCAGTAACCGGATAACGTCAGTGCAACTGACAGTAGCAGGTTGTGATTGGTTCAATACTAAAACACACCACCATTGCCCTGGGAAGTTTCTGGAGATCATGCCAGTGCACAAAGAGGTCATGGGGCAGCAGTTCATCCTACTGAACCGGCTAGGCTCCCCGCTCCCTGGAGGCCTAACACCCATGACAATGGTTTGGACAAAAATGAGCTTTGAGAGAATAGCTTCAGGTACAAAAGTAAGCTTAAAGCACCAGTTTGCCCGGACTGAAGTTCTCAAACAAGAAAAGAAAACAACCCCCTGGGTTTGCCCCGTCCGAAACGTCACACCTACCGAGTCACACAACTTTGATTGAAAAAAGTGCATTTGGTTTGGCGCAAATGCTTTTTCATGGATCAAACCAGGGTTGCCGGCCCCAACGTACGGTTCGGGGGTTCGGGCCTCATCCGACCAGTGGCTCAGGGCCGACCAAACCCCATTTCGGCACATAATTGTTTTTTACATCATCGACCACCCAAAGCACCTGCCTTTAACTTTTTGTTTGATTCTGTCGAGAAAAAAATAATATTTAAATTCGTGGAAGATAGAGGGGTTAAAAAAATTGGAAACCTCCCCACATTTTGTCCCTTCTTTTTTTTTGAACTCTTTTGTATATACTGATAGATTGACTGACTGATTGGTTGGTTCGTTGGCGAGGGCAGGTCGCCCCAGCCCCCCCACCTGCACACACACACATACACACTCTGTAACAGACAAACACACACCTGAAGGGTTGGGGCCCAGCCATTCAGAAGGCAGGTCGTTCCCCTCCCCCCGCCCCCCCCACCCCCCGCCCAAATATTTTGTTTTTTTTCTGAATATGATTGTAAGAAGAACACCACCTCCACATACAATTCGGAAGAACAAAAAAGACATAATAGACAAAAATAAAAAAGTCTGACGCTCGGCCAAACGGCTGGACGGTGGGTGGGGTGGGGTGGGGTGGGGGGGGGCGCGCAAATATTTGGCCGTTTACCCTGGATCAAACCATTTTATGATTTTTGCTCTTTTTTTTTGGTAAAGAGTCATCTAAGCAACATCCCTGAAACTGATTCTTTTCAGAATTGTTCGTCGCCTGGAAATTAGACTTAAAAAGTGCCAAGGTCAGGTACTCGGAATTTTGCATACCCCCCCAGTAACCCCCTTGAGTCTGGCAGGCCAAAAGGTGTCTTCTTCCCATGTATACCGGCAAGACATCAACTTAGGGACGGTTGAACTGGCAGTTGTAAGTTATTTCCATGAACGCCACCAATTGTGTAGGGAAACTCATGGAGTAGCACAAAAGCAGCACGACCAGGAAATATTTACAGTCAGTTTGCTTTGAAGCTTTCCCAGGCTGGCAAGTCACCTTCACAGAGAGGGGAGAAGATAACAGGGAGGGAAGAGAGAACAAAGCAGAGATGGAAGCAAGTATAATGACAGGGCAAGCACGGACCTTCTTCCATGTGTAGAAATGGAGGGACGTAAGCTTGCCGAAGTTTGGCGTATCCATGTGAATGTTCAGACTCTGACTTTGGTCAATGAAGGCACCCCTGTCAGCTGCCATATTTACAAGATTCTTCTGCTTGATTTCCCACACAGTTCTGCAGACAGCAACACATGAAGATACAGCAAAGCATGAAGATGCAGCAAAGCATGAAGATACAGCAAAGCATGAAGATACAGCAAAGCATGAAGATGCAGCAAAGCATGAAGATGCAGCAAAGCATGAAGAAATTGAGTTCCATGTTGCATTAAAAAAAAAAAGAGATTAGCTCATTCTGGACCAGACGCACAACGATGGACCATGAACTAGCATGAAGGGAGTTTTCCAACTTCTCCGTCAATGAGCCATCCCACTGGAAGGAAAAACTTCTTTAGCCAGCTAGGCTGAGCTAGCCCTAGAATAAATACATCCAAGGCTTTGTGAGTAATGAACACTCCCTGCCAGTCAAGCACTAGATTGCATTTGCCCAAAATGTACAGGTCAGCAAGAGGGGTTCCGTCATACTGTTCCTTGCACAACCCTCAGAAGAGTCTACCGATCATATCCTTTTTTTTATTCCCCTTCTGCTCATCACATCAAAAGCTGCCAGCCAGTAAAAACAGCATATTCAACAGAAATCCTTGGCCACAAGGAAGGCAAACAAAGGGAAAAGAAACATTAAGTAGACTGCAGAGAGGGAGGGGATGGGAGGGGGAAGAGAGGAGGGCGGGGGTGAGTGGAGAGGGACGGAGGAGAAGGGCAGAGGAGCGCACTTGTCTGTTCTTGTTCGCATCTCATTCAACTTCAAAGACTGGCACTGAAATCTACAAGTGGCAGGGGAGGGGAAGTGGGGAAACTGGAGAAGCGAAAGGGAAGGGAGAGGGCGGGGGGAAGATTCCACTCATCATAGCTTTCTTTTTTTTTTTTTTTCCTGCTCATCATATAAAAAAGCTGCCAGCCAGTAAAAGCAGCATATTCAACAGAAGTCCTTGGCCACAAACAAGGCAAACAAAGGGAAAAGAAACATCAAGCAGAGCGCAGGGAGGGAGGGGGAGGAGAGGAGGGCGGAGGGAGGACCGAGGGAGCGCCAGGTAAGGGGGAGAAGGGAAAAGGAACACACTTGTCTGTTCTTGTTCAAATTTCATTCAACCTCTAAACACTGGCAATGAAACCCACAAGCGGCAGGGGAGGAAAAGTGGAGAAACTGGAGAAGCAAAAGGGGAGACAGAGGGTGCGGTGGGGTTCTCTTATACACATCTAGATGTGTATAAGAGACAGGAGTAGGAGTGGGGGTGTGTACTCTCTCTCAATAGTAGCTAAATGACCGGGAGGCTGAAGTGGGAATTGAAGAAACGAAACAAAAGACGAACAATAACTTACTTGTAAATCTGTTTGATATCGTCGGGGACACCCGATAGACTCTGAACAGAACCCACAGCCTTGATCAGCTGATTCTTGACGTCAGACGTCCATAGGCCTCTGTCGACCAAATCATGTAGAAGATGCTTGTTGACGACAATAAACTCACCACTGCCACAAAATCAAACATCGATGCAAGCGGTTAATGAACACAACTTGACAGAACAAGATTTATGAAAACCAAACATTACGAAAGAAGGGGGGGGAATTAATGAAAACAAAAGAAACGAAGATACCTGGCTGAGCTTACCGGGTAGAGTAGGGTTGAGGGTTTAAGGGTGCAAGTGTGGTTAGCCTAGAAACTAGGGTTTAGGGATTAAGATTGACTGGAGGATTAAACCTTCAATCTAACTGAAAGTTTAGTTCTTCTCTTTATTAGTAGTTCTGTCAGTTTTTTACCAAGAATAATGGTCTCCAAAACCATAGGTTAAGGGTTCGAATCCCTCCCCTCCTGGTTCTTTTTTAGTAGTTGTGTCATTCTTACTTAGAATATAATGGTCTCCAAAACCATAGGTTAAGCGTTCAAATGCCTTTCCTCATGGTTCTCCCTTTCTTTTGGAGTTCCGCATAATGGGACCCTGGACCCGGTTTCCAGCAGGAGCGGAAGCTGGGTAATGGCCCCAGTACTCCGGGTTGATATGCAGAGGGATTCCCAACCTCCTTTTGTGTTTGGAAATATATATGCACAATTCATGTTAAAGAAGGAAAACAAAAGATGACCTCACTCAGGTGCAGAGCTGATCTTTTTGTTCTTTTTTTTTCAGGGCCAGAACTGATCCAAAAAGCAGGTACCCAGAGACCTATCTCAGGCTATCTGACAGTATGACTCGTAGCAAGCATCCCAGTCAATACCACAAGAAAGACAGCAAAAGCAGAGTATACGAGCACATACTAATTTTGCAGAGACTCCTACTGAAGCGTCAAACCTGCCGCATCGCAGAAGAAAGATAACAAAAATAGAAAAGACATGCACATACTACTTTCACAGACACTCCCATTGACACATCAAACCCGCATCAGTGTCCAACTCTTTAGAACAGAAAGATGATGCTGCCCCTTTGCTTCTAGACCCAAACAAGAAGCTTTTGTATCCCTCCACTGGAATCTCAAATGAACCACAGCATCCTTCAACGACTACCATCTTCACTCGAATAGAACACCTGGTCATTAAAGCCATATTTGGGGCAATTTTCAGTCTAGATACAGCAATAATGGCCGGGCACTCTATTCGACTGAAGACGGTCCTTCATCCAGTTCCATCCCATGAGGTAAGGTCTCATGGTTGCTGACAATTCAAACAGGCTATTGCATCACTCATCCCTTGAGCTGCAAAAAGCCCTGCACAACCTCCCTTGGTCTTCCTACAAACAGAAGAACAAGAGCACATTTCTCTCTCTCTCTCTCTCTCTCTCTCTCTCTCTCTCTCTCTCTCTCTCTCTCACACACACACACACACACACACACACACACACACACACTTCTCCCTATCCGAATCCATCTATTTTTCTTTATCCAAATTATCCCCGTTTTTGCATCCGTTGCCTCACAAAGGATCTCTCTCTCTCTCTCTCTCTCTCTCTCTCTCTCTCTCTCTCTCTCTCTCTCTCTCTCTCTCTCTCTCCCCTTTGGGAAATTGTTAAAATCGGAATGGTACAGAGAAGATTAGCATGGCCCCTGAGCATGGATGACATACATAAATCGATAAACGGTCCAAATAAAAAAAAAATAAAAAAAATGGATTTCTCTCTCTCGTGCTCACTGCTGCTGTTGCAAGCAACCCCACATACCTGAGGACTCTCCGGACATAAATATTGGATGTGTAAGGCTCAAAGCACTCATTGTTGCCAAGGATCTGCGAGGTGGAGGCAGTGGGCATTGGAGCCACTAGAAGGGAGTTCCGCACACCATGCTTCGCTATATTTTCCCTCAGCGTCGCCCAGTCCCATCTATCTGATGGCATTACATCCCACATATCAAACTGGAGCACGCCCTGTTGCATACAGAATAGGCAAAAAAAAACAACAACAAACGACAGCCCAACCAACAAATGTCGTTCTTATCTTCCTCGGTATAAGACAGGTCATAGAAAAATAATCGCACAACTTGAATATAACTTCGTTGTTTTGTTCATTGCAAGCACATCCCACTCCTTCAACTCACCCATTTCTGTCACTTCCCATCGTCATTTGCATACTTGCATGCATGAACAACCAAGGGAAATAAGTTAAAACAGTACTTTCTTTTTGAAGAATCGCAGTAGAGCAACAAGCACAAACGTGAGGGGACACTGGCTTATAGCTACCGTCTTCACCAGAATAGAACGCACAGTCATGATCTAGATTGAAAGTTTCCCAAAATACAGTTATACTGTTATAGTGACCACACATTCACCCTATTTTCCCGGGCAGCCCGGCCGTGCAAGGTCCAGGGAAGGTCCCAGAAAAGAAAAAAAAAGTTCAAAAAACCTGAAAGTCATTTTGTAATTTAAAATTTTATTTTAAATTTGGTAAAGACTTTCGATGTGACCCTGAGGCAAAAGTTGTTCATTTTATTTTTCTGCATAACATAGTTTGTTTTTCGGATTTTGTCGATTTTTTTTTTTTTTTTGGTAAGTCTATGCTATATTATGCATAAAATAAACTGAAAAACTTTTGCCTCAGGGTCACATCGAAAGTCTTTACCAAATTTAAAATAAACTTTTAAATTACAAAATAACTTTCCGTTTTTTTTAACTTTTTTATTTTTCTATTTTTTTTTGGGCCCGGCCGGGCAAGTGGACCCGGGCCACTCTGGTAGCCTAGGTAATAATTAAATAATAACAATTTTGAATATTCTCTTTGCTCGTGAAACATACAACGCATGCCATGTACTCAGAGCACCTGTGGCTGAATGGTATACATATGTAACTGTAAACGCACGAGTTTGAAACCTGACGGAATCAGAACAATGGAAAGATTAGGGGCTAAGAATTCGAAGCAAAACAAAAGATACCATGCCCATGCAAAAATCAAGAAGTAAAAAGAACCCCAGCCTTGTTGCTGAATGGTACAGACCTGGGGTTGTTGATAAACAGGTCAGGAGTTCGAATCCTAAAGAATACAACAATGTGAGTGTGGCTTGAGCCCCTTTTGGAAAAAGAAAAAGCAAGAGAAGAGAACATCATTATTGGAAATGAAAGAGAAAAAAAAAGAAAAGAAAACATGATCACCTTCGAATACTATCATATACCTGGCTCTTGTTTATTCTGGGGAGCATCAGTCCAGATCCTTTTTTTTTTTTATGGGTACGCCGACTGGGTTAACTCATCACTTGCGGAATAATGTATACTTAACCAGTTGCAGTCTTTGGGTTTATTCTGGGGAGCATCAGTCCCGATCCTAGTCCACCGACAAGTCAAGAATACATACATTACAATTTACAACACATTCATAACACTGCCCCCCCCATTATGGAGGGGAGATCTGAATTGAGGCATTGATTGCTTTCATTCTGGAAATATACCTGTTATCCTGACTTATCCTTGCCGACCTTCTTTCCGCCAAACACAATGCCTCCCATCATTATGTCTGCATTTGGACTGAAAATTGCACTAAATACAGCTATAAGAACCGGGTGTTATTATCTTCAGGGGACATAAGAAGGGGAAGTTTGCATGTAACCGCTTCTACATCATCGATTCCATAGATCACTGAAAGACTACCATGTTTCTTCTTTTTTCTTTTTCTTCCTCCTTCAGAGGTCATTCTCTGGCCTTTCTCTCTCTGTGAAAAGGCAAGAAAAGAAACCATGGGTGATTGGGACTGGCGATGCAATAATGACTGTCTTCTTGTCTGCAGCTCCATCCCAAGAAGTTCTACTACATTGACTAAGCTAGCTCTCTCACTGTTTGGCGTCACTTTTCCCTCATCATCAATTTTGATCTTTTTTTAAACTCTATTAAACCCTACTTTGCCTTCTCCTTCTCACCTTGCTGACAGGGCACCCCTCATAAGTAGGATAAGGACCTTCCTCCTGTGCAAGCACACAGGACTCCGAAAGCGCTGCGAAGTATATACACTCGAAGATTTCCCTGTTCAACTGTTGAGCCTGCGGACACCAGTCAAAAAAAAAAAAAAAGGTGCAAGCAAGGAAGGAAAAAGGGTACATTTTAGGAACTGAGCTCCTGAAAAGTACGACGTATATTATATCAAACTAATGAAGTTCCATAATAGGCTTACTAATAGCATCAATAAGCAAAAAAAAGAAAAAAAAGAAAAAAAAGTACAAGGCAGCTTGGTGTGATAATTCAACAGTTCTTGTCGGAAGAGAAGCCAGTCACATTATGAGTAGAGGGCTTACTAATCACCCTTTTCTTTTTTTTCAGAAAACAAAAGAGGGCTTGCTAATCACTAATCTAGATGAGGTCCCACATATCCCCCAGCCCCTTTTTTTCTGAAGATTTCTTTGCAGAGCGGGGAGGGGGGAGGAGCAGGGGGGGGGGGGAAGGGGAAGGAGGGGGGAGGGAAGGGCGAGGGGGGTGGGAAGGGCGAGGGGGGGAGAGGTTCCTTTTTAACAGTTCGAGTTAACCTCCTCTGATTGTGAAACCAGCCAAAATAACATCAGGAAACGTGAGGGAAAGACATGGGAGAAACAAAAGGGAATGCAAAGGAAAAACAGATTGGAAGACGGAGGACTGAGACAGGAGCCAACTCAGCTTGTTGACAGATCTCGGAAAATGTTTGGCAAGGGAAAAGAAAAGGCAACGAGAAAGGAAAAGAAAGGCCGAGGGAAAACTAAGGGAAATGTGTGCGGATATTGAGAGAACAGTACAGCTTAGTAAAAGAAAAGAAAAAAAAAAGGGGGAAAAACTTTAAAAAAGGGTGAAAGAGCGGAAAAGAACAGCAGAAGAACCAGAAAAGATCGGGGAAGGGAAGGGGAAAGAAAGGGGAAAGAAAGGGGAAAGAAAGGGGAAACACTAAAAAGAAACCAGATTTGTTGAAAGTAGTACTTTAAGTTCGACCTTGAGTACTTCAAAGCAGTGCTTCTCAGACATAAACACCATCATCAACCCTAAACCTAAACAAAAAACACTCATAGGAGCCAAAGGAGGCACAGTGAAACTGTATCTTCACATTTGACACATCATCGCCCGCCTTCTCTCTTACCCCCCTCCAGCAAAAGTCACCGTGATTTCCTCAATTCGCCGTCGCTGTACGAGGGAAGACATTATGTGATCTTTTCAGCAGATTGGCCAAAAGAAAAGGCCCACTTATTTCCAAAGCAAAAGCACACCAAGCACACACAACCGAAGCCCGAACAAAAGATGTGGTGGCCAGTGGAGGATGCAGGGGAGCATCAGACAGGCAGGCTGTTGATGGTATGAGGCTATGAGATAAGTTGGTGAGCTACCTCTTCTGACTCAAAGGGCATCCCCAGCAGAATGAACACATCAGCGAGGCCCTGCACACCAATACCAATCGGTCGGTGCCGCATATTTGACTTGCGAGCGCTCTCAACCGGGTAGAAGTTGTTGTCAATGATGCGATTCAGGCTTCGCGCCACAAACCTTGTGATCTGCATCAAAAATACAAAAAAATGAACACGTGCCAACATCAGTGACTTCTCTCCTTTCTCCCTACCATCCTCCCCCAAATAGAATGTACAGTCGTGATAGCTGTACTTGGGGCAAGTTTGAGCCTATTCGGGGGAAGATTGTCGCCCCGCATTCTGCAACAAACCCCACGCCAGAACCATTACGAGCCCACATGGAGTCCAAGAGCGTCAACAACATTTCAAGCTTAAGATTCAGTACGCAGTCAGAGTTGTAAAACTAGTGATCTACCTCTTTCTCCCCCCTCCATGTCAATTTTGAAGCAAACCGTAAGCCCGAAACCAGAATTGTCACAACCTGCTGTGCCCCTGACAATTTATTGTAGCACACATACACAAAGTGACATAATTCGCTCATTAACAGTCATACAAGATAGCAGTAAATCAACAACATAAACAGAAAATGTCTTGGCACATGTGCACGCCACACACACACACAGAGGAAACCGTCTGGCACAGTCACGGTTTTCTTTGTGGAGTTGTGTATAGCAAACATCACAATACACAGAGTACACACACACACGCACACACCCTCACATGTCGTGGGCCATCGAAGGCGACATAACTAATCTGTAGACGGGCTAGAACAGCAATAATGCCTCTACAATTGCGGTCGGCGTGCCTCCGTGTTCCTAGCATGTAGGGCGACATCTGTCTACGCCCTGTCATTCGACGCAGGACCTGCAACTGCGAGAATTGGATGTGATGCTCCTACAGTCCACATCCGAACCGGTCCTGTCCGGTCTGTGTACGCATGGCCACTTACCATAGGCAACGGCTGCTGCTCAACTCAAAATCTTATGCAACCCAAACACTGACTGAACTCATGTGCCATAGTCTGCTCCAATGGTGAGTGTTTGGCACCCTGTGAGAACTCCACATCTTATTTCCTTCCTCCCTCCTCTTCTGTATTACTAGTAAATGCACACGGACGAGTGTCATTAAGAGAACAGACAAAGTATAAGTTGAAGATCTGAAGAAAAATGAAAAGGAATAGTCCTCCGCTTTTACTCTGCCTCCTTTCATAATGTGCAAGTGGGCCGTTATGTCGCACGAGGATGTGGGCAGCTCACGCTCAACCACAATTAACGTGGCGAGCCTTATACATGAGAGGCACAGTAAAAGGGGAGTTGCAAGGACAAATGAAATGGGTACCCAAAAAACCCAAAGTGAACACGGTTAAGAAAGGGATTTAAAGTTTAAACTCTTCTATTTTGCTCCGTATTGCTTGCTATAAGGTAACTGTTTCATCGTTTGTCTCAACCCGAAGCTGCTTCGATCTACTCATCTGGGTGGAAAAGGGGCTGTTGTGGTGGAAATTCACACACCTGCACACTCACAAGTTGCGCCCTTTTAGTTCATAGCATACTTGCAAGCAGACAGACCGGACGAGCGTCCGGTCCGGTCCGCTTTGCCGCGTGCGGCACCCTCCCCCCGGACCAGACGGACCCGGACCGGACCGGACGGGGCCATTTTTTTTTTTGGGGGGKGGGGGTGGGGGGTAACTGGTCGTCGGGCGCACATTCGTGCGCCGCGCGGGTCCGGTCCAGCGGTCTGCCGCACGTGCGGAACCGCCCGGACGGTGTCCGCTTGCAAGTATGGCTCATAGTTATGCGACAATATACATATATACTATTTACTATATAGCCATAGAGAACTGCCAAGCGAACCGTAGGCAGAGAGGGAGAAGAGGACAACAAAAAAGGGGCTGTGACATACTGTTTGGTCGGAGTTCCGCACATATAAAATGAATTTAAAAGTTTGGAGTGTGACATACTGTTTGGCCCACTTTTTTTTTTTCTTTTTTCTTTTTTCTTTAACAACATAGCCCCTTCTGTTCTGGGGGGCACCACTCCGGTTGCTTGTCACCGGCAAGCAAGTTTTTACATCCACCCAAGGGAGGGGGCAGATCAGACAAACGAAAAGCAACAGTCCCGCCCTTGCGGTACTAGACATCTATAAAGGGGAGGACTGCTACAGAACATCCGACCCCTATCAGGACTTTTAAAATGGCATAGAGAAAAAGAATTGGGAGTTCACACGAATTAACCGGCCAAATATAAACGGCAGCAGAGGCATAGGGTAACCAATACCGCCTCCCAGCCAGGAAAGACAAGCAGCACGAGGTCTTCAAGAGATAGTAAACACAGGTCCCAAACAGATTCAACTTGTCAAAAGAAGTGTGTGCGCATGTTTCTCACCTCCAGAAGGCGTTCAAAGTCAAAGAAACGATTCTTATGACCATGGCTCCCCACCATTCTCCGGGAATGACAATCGTCAACACCCTGAAAATCAAACAAAAAATTTAAAAAAAAAAAAAAAAAAAAAAAACAAGCAACAAGCCAACATCCAATCAATCAGTCAACCGGCCATGCGTTGCAAAAAAGCCACATCATCATCACTGAAAAAAGGGGACAAAGAGTTTTTCCCTAACATAGTATCTATACCTGGCCACGACAAACGGGAAGGAGAAGTGCAGTGACAATATTTGTCACCTGGTGTCGACTGTACCTTCCTTCGTTTCGGATTACAACTTGCACCTCAAAAACATTTCGTGTTCTACTGCCCACAAAAGTGGGATGGAGAATTGCAATGCCATGAAAAAAAGAACCAAGTTTTTGTGTTGCTTCCAACAGGAGAAAGGCCACTTTTCGATTCTTTCAAAGGCCCTTCAGACTGCGAAGAGAATTTCCAAAAAACTTAGTCAGACGTCCAAGAACAAGAATATGGATCATGGCATGAATTGTACACATGGATTTTATGAAATTGTTAACAAACATAATTGTTAACAAACAGATTATGAGTCCGAATCCCAAGAGAATCGGATTGGATGAACACAATAATGTCAGGGGCTACCCCGTTCAAAACAAAACGAGGAAAAACAAAGTATCCCTTCCAAACATCCATTAAAATTGGAACGATACAGAGAAGATTAGCATACAGAGAAGATTAGCATGGCCCCTGCCAAAGGATGACACACAAAAAGTGAGAAATGGTCTTAAATTAAACGGGAAAAAAAAGGAAAAACAAAAGGAAGGGATTATGGTGAACTACAAGGGAGTATGAGGTTACTACATTCCTAGATTGTCTGGATAGCAAACACCTTTCTTGTTAACTGACAGCGATGCATGAAGTGAGGACGAGAGATAGATGGTGGAAAAGAAACCCTCAACGGAAAACACAGGAAAAGGGAAAAGCTCTTTTTCTAGCATGGCATTGTACAAACGTAAAATGCCCAAAAAAAACGATGCCAAGAACTGCATCGTCAGCCATCTTACCTTTTCGCGGACAAAACGCGGCAGTGCAATTGACGCAAGATTGCATACCGCAGTTTCATCTGGACTGGTATACTCAATGATCTCCGTGCAGAGGTTGGATGACTTGATCGTTCCCAGATTCTGCTGATTGCTTTTCCTGTTGCAACTATCCTGTAGACAAGAGAGAGGGAGAGAGGGAGAGAGGGAGAGTGGGAGAGGGAGAGAAAGAGAGGAGAAAGAGAGACAGAGAGAGGGAGAGAGGGAGAGAGGGAGAGAGGGA